GCTGGTTTCGAACTCCTGAGCTCAAACAATCCGCCCGCCTCGGCCTCCCAGAGTGCTAGGATTACAGGCGTGAGCCACCGCGCCCGGCCTTCAGATTGTTTTAAAAGAGGAAGAGGTACAGCTTCTCCGTGGGGAACGGACTGGAGGTGAGGAGATGACAGTGGCCCGTCCTGGAGAAGAGGCAGCGGGAACAGGAAGGAGACACACGTGGGAGATGTTTGGAGGTTGAGCCAGCAGGATTATGAAGCAGGGCGAGGGGGAGACGGTGAGGAGGCCTCAGGCATGGCACCCACAGCCAGCTCTGGAGTCGGGCCCTGAGCTTCCCTGCCTCCACCCTGTGTCCACCTCTGCCTGCTACCAGCATCTGGGTCACTTACCCTCTGACCCCAAATTGTCCCTATGTCACTGATACTGGGAGCTCCCAGGATAAGGCTTTGCTGGTATGTGCTTGTTTCTCCTGCAAGGGGCAGGGCACAGACATGGCCTTGGGTGAGGTTAAGGGGAGGACAGGCCACCTTGTTGGCTAAAACGTAAACCTAAACCTAAACTTACCACTGGGGCGTGAGTGTTCTCATGCCCCAAGCGTACAAAGGTCTGGGTGTGTTGGGTTGCTGTGAACGGCTTTCTGTGGTCACTTCAAGGCTGACGTTTGAGGACTGAAGTTGGATGTTGGGGACGGTCATGCTGCCCAGCTAACCTTCGGCAGATGCAGTGCCCACCTTCACTGTCTCATCACAGCCTAGCGTTTCCCCCGAGTCCTGGGACATCGGACATTCAGACCCTGGAGAAAAGCTAAGAAACCTCAAAAAGCTCCATTGTCCCCACCCACTCCTGTATCAGCAGCTATTATTTATTTGTTAGTTTTTTATCCCTGCCTGCCTCTTCCCTATTCCTTATGCCCCCGCCTCCTGGAGGCCTTAAGGGGTAGAGCAAACCCTTTATCCGCCACGACCACATTCTTCACCTGGAGACCAGCAAATTCCAGAACTCCTCCTCCCTCTTGCCACTCGGCTGCACGAGCGGGTGAGGGGGCTGCTGAGCAGCAGTGGACAGTGGAGGGAAGGAAGGGAACCAGGTGTACATTGGGGTGCCCCAACCACCCCACTTTTCTCTGAAACAGAGCGCTAGGGGACTCACACTCTGCAATGGGCCTCCCTAGGGAACCCTCCAGCTGCACCGAACAGGGAGTAGATCCAGCTCTAGGCCAACGCCCTTGATCTGTCTGCCTCTGGGACAGCAGGCCCTGGGCAACATCAAGTGCACAGTCCCTAAAATACATCAAAGCTGGAAGCACTTTCCCTCCTGATTAGCGCGGCCCCTCCAGTCCCTTTGGAAGAGTTTGCTCATTTCATTGTCAGAGGGCCTTCTCACCTCTGCAGTCGTGAGACTTAGGTCACTACCCATGCCTTGGTCGGTCCTGCCACCTGGGGAAGGTTCCAAAAGTGGAGCTGTTCCTCGGGGTGCCAAGGTTCTGGGCATAGTTTTGAGAAGCTGCAGGGCAGGAGAAAGACAAGGTCTCTTTGTGGGTAACGTGGTTTGGGCACAGACCCGAAGCCTCTCGGGGGGCAGGGCTTCTGTGAGAGGGCACATCCCTGTGTATGCGGGCGCGTGTGCTTGTGTGGTTGGGGACATTCCTGGAAGAGGCAGCTAGGGTGAGGGCCCCAGGCTGGGCATGGGGTGGGGCCTGCGGGGCAAGGAAGGGAACTCAGTCCTGAAGAGCTGGAGCCACAAGAGCCAGGAGACAGGGCGAGGGGAGCTGCAGAAGCACCCGGGTGCCAGGCCTTTCTGTGGAACCCGTACTTTTCACCTGGAGGAAGCGGGAGCTTCCACAGGGAGGCAGGGGGGACCCTGGCCAGCTGCTCCGCCAGCAGCTCTTGGTGGAAGGTGCCGGGGTTGAGGGCTCTGCTGCTCTGGAATTACTTCATTTCCTTCCATCCAAATAGCTGTTCTGGGTTCCTGCTCTATGGAGTAAATGTCCCCTGATCCTGGCCAGATGTTTGCTGACTTCTCATCCCAAATGTCCCTCCATTGGGTTCTGGGGAGGTACAGCAGCCCCTTAGGAGGGAGCTCTTTGCTGAGGCTGATTGAGGAAGGGCGAGGGGTGCTCCTGACAGCTCCCAGCTGCTGGCTAGAGTCCCTCAGGGAGGGACATGGGGGCATGATAAAGCAGGAGAGGGAGGTCAGGCACACAGGGCCCCATCCTGAACCCACAGTCTACAAGGTTAACCCCTCATTCCCAGAGACTTTCTCCTCCTCCACACCCAACCCGCGTGGCCCAGCCCGGGGGAAACCCAGAGCCCAGAGCACTGTGGTCACAGAGACACATGCAGCCCTCGGTGTGGCCGGGATAGGCCACAGGCAGTCGGGGACATGATGTGGTCGGGACAGGCCTCAGGGCCAAGGGCCACTCTTTGGGAGAAGCACCCCAGCACCTCTCGTGGAGGGCAAGCCTAGGGGCAGCGCAGGAGCAAGCTGGGTCGGCTCTCTGGGAGTTCTCTGGGGAAGGGAGAAAGGGAGGGGCGGCGGGAGCCTGAGCCACGAGGCGAGTGGGCGCACGTGGCAGAGGCCTCCCAGCCCGCGGGGGCGCCCTCGGGGATATGGGCGGGAGGGCGCGGCGCCCCCTGGTGGCCGAACTGCGCGGCGTCGAGACTGTTCGTATCCGTCGCGGGGCCCCGTGACTTCAACTCCCTCCTCGCGAGGCCTCGCCGCCTGGGGGATCTGAGTCTTTGGTTGGGACTCCATCTTCGTCCTCTGCCCCTCGCCCGTCTCTCTCAGGCTCTCGTGACGGTCACCCCTGCCCGCCTGCCTCACGCTGCACAACATGCAGCCAGCAGACCTCGAGGGTCCCCGCGGACTCGGCGTGCGTCTTCTGCTGCGTCTGCTGCTCGTGCTGCTCCTGCTGCCGCCACAGCCTGTAACTCGCGCCCAGACCACGCCAGGCGCCCCGAGCGCCCCGACCACGCCGGGCACCCTCACCACGCCGGGTGCCCCCACCACGCCGGGCACCCTCACCACGCCGGGTGCCCCCAGCACCCAGAACCTGCGAGAGCGCGCGCGGGCGCTGATGCGGGACTTCCCGCTCGTGGACGGGTGCGTAGGTGCAGCGTGGGGACGATGAGGGGTGCGCACACCCCACGGCACGGGAGGGGGCCCAGAGAATACAGGACTGGCAAGGAGGCTCCCTCACACCGTCCTTGGATGGCCCTTCATCACTCATGGGTGCTGAGGAAGTCGCCTTTCCCCTCTTCTATCAGCCCCTCTCTGGTGGGAACCCCCCAGCCCAGGCTTCCGGGGGTCTCAAAATAGTTGGACAGTGTGGCGGTGTGCGGTGGGGGACCCCGGGGCATGTCCTGCCTGACCTGGAGGCCTAAGGGGTCCCCTCCTTTGTCCTCGGCCTGACCCTGCCTTGACTTTCCTCCAGCCACAACGACCTGCCCCTGATCCTGAGGCAGTTTTCCCAGAACGGGCTACAGGATGTCAACCTGCGCAATTTCAGCCATGGCCAGACCAGCCTGGACAGGCTTAGAGAGGGCCTCGTGGGCGCCCAGGTACCACAGGGACACACAGGGCCTGGCTTCTGGGGAATGTTGGGAGAGTGGGGGTCTCAGCCATTACAAGTTAGTCACACGGGAACTCAGTTACCACAGTGACCCAAAAAGTGCCATGAGGTGGATGCTGGAGGTTGCAGGGACTACAGTGAGCCAGCTTGGTGGGCATGAAGGGACCAAGGGACAAGCGGTACATGTGGCCTCCGGGCCCACTGGGTTCTGTGGAACCTGAGAAGCCCAGGGAGCTCCAAAGCAGCCCTTGGCCAAGTCAAGCCCTGGCCTTCCCCCCAGTTCTGGTCGGCCTACGTCCCATGCCAGACTCAGGACCGGGATGCCGTGCGCCTCACCCTGGAGCAGGTTGACCTCATTCACCACATGTGTGCCTCCTACCCCGAGCTGGAGCTTGTGACCTCAGTTAAAGGTAAGTGGGTTGGTGGGGAGTGTTAGGAATTTGACTGAGCTACTCCAGCCCCTGAAAATAATTACCTGACCTACCTGCCCCCAGCTCTTAACAATACCCGGAAATTGGCCTGCCTCATTGGTGTGGAGGGAGGCCACTCACTGGACAATAGCCTCTCCATCTTGCGTGCCTTCTATGTGCTGGGAGTGCGCTACCTGACGCTCACCCACACCTGCAACACGCCCTGGTGAGTACAGCACTGATGGTGCGGGCCCACTGAGCAGGGATCTGCCCAACGTCACACTGTGGGCCCAGACCAAGCTTTACCCGTGGGATCTGACACGGACCCTGGCGTGGGGAGGGGAGCTGGGTTCTGGGGTTCACAGAATGAGACTAGATACCAGCAGGGCCCTCCTACTGCTAGGCACAGCCCATCCTGGGTCCCTGCTTTTGCTCCAGGGGTTTGCAGGGATAAAAGGTGGGTAGGGCCTCTAGGATCTTGTGGCCAAGGCATGGCCACCAATCAGACTACCTCCTGGCCGTTCTGCAGGGCAGAGAGCTCAGCTAAGGACATCCACCCCTTCTACAATAATGTCAGCGGGCTGACCAGCTTTGGAGAGGTGAGGACCCTGGTTCATACTCCACTTCACACAAATGTACACACCCCACCTGTTTCCTACAATTGTGCACATATCTGTACCCCTGCTACCCTCCTCCCAACCTGTCCCTGCAGAAGGTGGTGGCAGAAATGAACCACCTGGGCATGATGGTAGACTTGTCCCATGTCTCGGATGCTGCGGCACGGCGCGCCCTGGAAGTGTCACAGGCACCTGTGATCTTTTCCCACTCGGCTGCCCGGGGTGTGTGCAACAATGCTCGGAATGTTCCTGATGACATACTGCAGCTTCTGGTGAGAAACTCCTTGGCCCTAGAACCTAAAGCAAGAAGTTCAAACGAGGAGCTCTTGGACCTGAGCCCCTTACTTCCTCAACTCCCTCAAACCCCAGGCGGAACATCATCTGCCCCACAAACCCCCAGTCCCCAGTCTCTGAACTCTTGAATCCACGAGTGAGGGCTTCTAGATGTTAAATATTCCTCTGCCCTTCAAAGCGAGTGCCAAGAACAAGACGCTTCTACCCAAACCAGGGCCTAGACTCTTCCATTCACACAAACCCAGAGAGGTGAAGTCTCCTCTCACTCTGCAGGCCAGGGCTAAACACCTTCCTCTGGGTGCTCAGAGGGTGGACAGGCACGTGGTTTGCTGGGGGGCCAAGCTGAGTGTCCATTTGACTACCCCTGCAGAAAAAGAATGGTGGCATCGTGATGGTGTCCTTGTCCATGGGAGTGCTGCAGTGCAACCCGTTAGCCAATGTGTCCACTGTAGCAGGTAAGTCCGCCCCCCCAGCTCTCCGAACAGTTCTGATTTGGACCCCAATCCTTGGGAGGGCCTCAGGACAGCCCCAGCGGTTTGACCCAAAATCCAATGATGGACAGTATGTAGCACCTTGGTGCCACATGGAACTGGAGCCGCAGAGTCAACACTGTGATACTGATGGGTGCAAGGGAGGCAGGCAGTCAGATGTAGCACCCAGGTACCAGTCACCTGCACTCCTGCAAGGGCTGCCAAAGCACCCTGCCCTGCCTCTGGCCAAGGGCGGGGGCAGCCCCTAGGTCTCTGGGGTTTTGGTCAGTTATCGTGTTTGTCCCTCTCTCATCTTCCACACACCTAGAAAGGAGCCCCCACAGGTTCTCAATGAGACTAGAGGCAGGGAAATGGCTGAAATGGGTGGCTCTGTGGGTCCGCCCCAAATTTGAAGTCCAGTCTAGAGCCAGCTGGAATCAGTTCAGGTCAAACCTCAGGGCCCTCAAGTTGCCACCAGGGGTACCAGGCCATGAGGAATTTGCCTGTGTGGCCTCCGGGCTGCATGAAGGGGACTCAGTAGAGTCCAGCCCCAGAGTTCCACTCCTACCCTGGAAGCCCCACACAGCTGACTCTCCATCCTCCCAGATCACTTTGACCACATCAAAGCAATCATCGGATCCGAGTTCATCGGGATCGGCGGAGATTACGATGGGGCCGGCCAGTGAGTGCTTCCCTGTGGCTCATCTGGGGCTGTCTGAACAGCAGTGGGGCCCTCACAGTCACCACACCCACTATGCTATGGGGCTCCTGGCCTTTAGGCCTTGACCTCCTGACATCTCCCCACTGATAGGGTCAGTCTCCTGGGCTCGCCTGTCTGTCTTCATCCCAGTGCCTCACTCTAGGGCATCATATTTGGCTAAGCCACCAGACAGAGCTCATGTGCCCAGCGCATGCTCCCAGCTCCAGCCTACCCACTTTGTCTGTGCAGACTGTCGGCAAGGTCTGGTGTGGGCTGACCATCTTCTCTGCACACAGCTGGGGCTGTGCTTGCAGGGCCAGCCCGGTTCTGAAGAAGCTTTTCTTCTTTTATAAGTGCGGGGAACATTTGCCTTCAGTGGAAGACAAAGATGTTAATAGTACAATTCAATGAGTTTTGACATATATTCAAGCAGGTTTGAGGCCTCCTTCAGGAGTGAAGGGCAAGGGCAGATCATCTGCTCTCCCTAAGTCTCCATTTTCCCAGTCTGAGCAGGGCTGGGGTTCCCGGGGCCCTGGACTCTGGTTCTGAGTCAGAATCAGGGAACCTGGTCTGAGGCCCACCGGGTGGCCGGCTGGTGGCCACACAGGTTCCCTCAGGGGCTGGAGGATGTGTCCAAATACCCAGTACTGATAGAGGAGTTGCTGAGACGTGGCTGGAGTGAGGAAGAGCTTCAGGGTGTCCTTCGTGGCAACCTGCTGCGGGTCTTCGGACAAGTGGAACAGGTACGCTGCACTGGGCAAGACAGTAGCCCGGGGGTCTGAGCTAAGTGAAGTGTGTTGGGGGGAGCTGTGGATGCTGCTGACCACTGACTGCCCCCTCTAGGTACGGGAGGAAAACAAGTGGCAAAGCCCCTTGGAGGACAAGTTCCCAGATGAGCAGCTGGACAGTGCTTGCCACTCTGTCCTCCCGGGTCGGCATCAGAGACAATCACTGATTTCAGACCAGAAACTAACCAGGATTCCAACACATCAGACACCCAGGCTATTATCCAAGTGGTCACTATCAAAGTCCTCCCCCAACCCAGCCCTAGGCCTTACAGTTGTTGCCACTTTCCCAGTCCTTATCCTGTGGCTCTTTTGTCCCAGTTAGTCCTGCCAGATATCACTGTGGCAGCCAGGTACACCCCACAATGTTGCCCTGTTGTACAGGCACAATCATTTCCTGAAAATAAATGTTTTGGACATGGAACCGGAAGTGAATGTCTTCCTCTGCAGTGGGGTCTGGTGGCACAGACTCCCAGTGCTGGTGGTTGGTGGGGGACCCTGCATTTCAGCCACCAGTTAGTTGCTCAAGGAAGGCCTGTTGGTAGTGGCCTGAGGCGACCCGGGTGGCTGGGCTCAGCACCGGACAAAGGCAGTGGGCAGATCTCGCTGCAGGAGGGTGAACCTGCTCTGTGTTCCCTCTGAGTAGCTCGTCGCAATCCACATGCCGACCCACTGACCAGCACCTAGGGCATCGTTCAGGGAATTCTCATTCAGATTCCCAAGGAGGGGACCTGCCTAGATCACGAATGACCTTCGTTCCTCTTCACGAAGAGCCAAGAATGTCAGGCCACATAATGGGCCATAGGCCTCCAATGGCTGTACTGCCCTGGATGTGGGAACCCCACCCCCATCCCACAGGGACTGCTCCAAGAGGCACAAGCTACTTAGGTATTCACTCATCTCAACCCTAGGCCATGAATGGTAACTAACAGCAACTGCAGTAATAATAGCTAATATTGAGAGCTAATATTAATAATGATACATAGTAAATAACATGACAATAATAGATCATGGCTAATAAAAACAATAGTTAATACTGATAGTCTGTGCATACCCCATGACCAAACAATTTCACCCTGGTATATATCCAACAGGAATGCATACATTATGTTTCCCCAAAAGGCACACGAAATCATATTTATATTACCGCTATTCATAATAACCCCAGATTGTGCATTTCGAAGTCAAATTTCGAGGCACCAAAGACAGAAGATTATCTTTGTTGTTTTTGTAGGTGGGATCTTGCTATATTGCCCAGGCTGGAGTACAGTGGCTGTTCACAGGTCTGATCATAGCACACTACAGCCTTGAACTCCTGGCCTCAAGCAACCCTCCCACCACACCAAGCCTTAATAACATTTTAAAGAGTAATTGTAAACATTATGACCTCTCCTTTCACCTACATCGAATATAGGAAACAGCTGTATGTGCAATGCTTTTGTTAAACTATTAGCAAAGTTGTCATTCATTATGTTGTTCAAAGTCACTTAAATGAAGACCTCCAGGGTGGGTCTACTGAGGTTTATGAGAGACCAGAATAGACATTACCTTTCTCTGCCCTTCCTGAAAGAACCAAAGCTAGAGGCAGCTGGGTCAGACTGGGTCAAGAGGCATGAGGAAGGGGCAGTGACCAAAGACAGCAATGGTCACCAGAGGCCAAGCCCCTTCTGGAGGTGCCCAGAGGGAAGGCCTACTTAACAGGGAGCCCAGGTGGGAGACAATGCAGGAGGGGGGACGATTAGATTCAGTCTGTGGTGTTGGCCCCTCAGCAGGACCTGGTCCGGACCCAGGAGGCTCAAACGCTACCCAGATGCAGGTCTGAGATCCGTTTCCTTTGCACCAGGGTTTTTGCAGTAGCAAACAGTGAATTACACTATCCAGTCCTCTGGCCCACCTGGAAACTACCTCTTCTCTGGGGAGGATTTTTACCCCAGGTGAAGTTATGTATCAGACCAAGCCACCTCGAGCTGTCAGTACCAAGGACCCTAACCTGACTTTGTCCACCACTCCATGCAAGAGGATCCGCCCCTGCCTCCCCACAACAGTGTAATGCCCAAACTAGACCTCTGCCTGGGCTGGTGGCCAACCTGGGGAGCCATCTCTGCTCCTCTGCCTGATACAGACCCCATCCTCCCAAGGTTCAGCTACTGCTCTGGTGCGTCCCCCAACTCCCTAGGACTCCGCTGTGCCCGCATAAGCGCCACTCCTGACTGCCCTCGGCCAGTATCACGACAATACTGAAAGAAACGAGATAGAAAATGACCAGGGAGTAGGTAGCGCTCTTCCCAAGAGAGACACTATTAACTAACATTTGGTGTGCATACTCCTCTGGGGGGGGAGTGTATTAATATACGTACAGAAACAAAATTTAATATCAAATGCTAAAATAAGGGTGTCCCATAAATATTTTTCTTAGATTTCACTTTAACAACCCACAGGAAATCTTTTTGTCAATCCAAACATACAGATCTATTATAATTCACTCTTCTGAATCAGCGTTTAGAATTTCATGGAACATTCTACCTGTTTGAGGGCGGGGCACATGGGAGCAGCTAACCCCCCCAGGAGGGCCTGGCTAGAGGGTGAAAACAGGGAGAGTCCTGGGCCCCTGCCAATCCCCCCACTGGTGTCCTCCCCAGTCTGTCGGTCTACGGAGCAAGCGTCAGGGGTAGGTACAGGGTCCGAGCAGGGACAGGGGCGGAGGGAGTCCGCGAGGCAGCTAGAGCGGACGCACGCGCATGCACGGACGAGCCATGGGGCGCCCTCCCATGGCTGCAGCGCCCGTGGCAACTCCTGGCGGCCGCCCTGCCGGCGCGCGCGCGCGCACTGAGTCGTGGGTCCCAGGGCGTCCGTCGCCAGGTGGCGTGACTGCAACTCCCCTGCGAAGACGCACTACTGGGTCGCCTAAATCGACGGCCTGGCCTCCATCGTCGCCCTCTGCCCTTTGCCTGCTCTTCCTAGGCTCCTGTGACCGGTCCCTGCGCAACATGCAGCCCGCGGGCCTCGAGGGCCCCCACACGCTCGGCCGGCGGCCTCTGCTGCGTCTGCTGCTCCTGCTGCTGCTGTCTCAGCCCGTAACCCGGGCCCAGACCACACCCGGCGTCCCTGGCGCCCCGACCACGCCGGGCACCCCCAGGGCCCAGAGCTTGCAGGGGCACGTGCGGGCCCTGATGCGGGCCTTCCCGTTGGTGGACGGGTATGTAGGTGTAGTGTGGAGCGACGGGGGCTGAGGGCACCCCAGGGCAGAGGTGGGGGTTCTGAGCATGCAGGGCTGGCAAGGAGGCGTCCTCACAGCACTCCTGGATGCCGCCTCTCTGCCATCACCCATGGCTGTCCTTCCCGTTACCTCATTCCTGGTGGAACGCCCCCTCCTCTGACAGAAGGTCTCCATATTGTCTGTGTGACAGAGGGGCCTGGTGGGGTGGGGGAGGGGAGACCCAGGCATGTTGATATGTCCTGCCTGACCTGGAGGCCATGTCCCCACCCTGACCTTGACATCCCCAGCCACAACGACTGGCCCCTGATCCTGAGACAGCTTTTCCAGAACAAGCTACAGGATGTTAACCTGCGCAATTTCAGCCATGGCCAGACCAGCCTGGACAGGCTTAGAGATGGCCTCGTGGGCGCCCAGGTACCACAGGGACAAACAGGGTGCCACAGCATGGCTGTTGGGGAATATTGGGGCCACAGAACCCTGGCTGGGCCAGCTTCTGGGTGACTAGGTACCATGGGGCATGCAGTGGCCATCACGGACCTTCTAGGGAGTGTGGGACCTTAGAGGCCAAAACAGGGAACTGCATGGGTGTCCAGGGTTTGTGGAGACACAAGAAAATGACCAGAAAATCTCTGGTGAGTGTGGGAGCTGCAGGAACCACAAAGGATATGGTGGACTGGCCTTGGGGCATTCACATAGCACATGGACAACAGTTCATGATGTGTCATGAATCCGTTGTTTGGCTGCTGGCAGCAAACTTAATAGTCATCAAGATACTATGGGTTTTATGCAGTGCTTCACCTGGGGCCACTGACCCAAAAGGGCGCCTTGGGGACTGAGGCAGGAGTGGCTGGCCTAGGGGGTTGAAGACCACCCTGTCCTCATTCTGGACCCCTGGACCTATCCCCAGTTCTGGTCGGCCTACGTCCCATGCCAGGCCCAGGACCGGGATGCCGTGCGCCTCACCCTGGAGCAGATCGACCTCATTCGCCGCATGTGTGCCTCCTACTCTGAGCTGGAGCTTGTGACCTCAGCTGAAGGTGGGCTGGCTGACGATGAGGGGATAGTCAGGGTGTCACTCTAATGGTTCTGTTCTTGGGCTCTGACCGCTTGACTCTACCTTCTAGGTCTGAACAGCACTCAAAAGCTGGCCTGCCTCATTGGCGTCGAGGGTGGTCACACGCTGGACAGCAGCCTCTCTGTGCTGCGCAGTTTCTATCTGCTGGGAGTGCGCTACCTGATGCTTGCCCACACCTGCAGCACGCCCTGGTGAGCTCGGTGCCTGGCCAAGGTGGAATGGTAGATGGTGTGGTGGGGAAACTGCCCAGTCCCTGGGATGGGCCTGGCCAGAGAACGGAGGATGAAGAGGGGCACCGAGGGAGGCTGGACTCCCAACAGGTTCCTCATATTCCCAGAAAGTAGCTATCCCTAGGTCTTCACCTGTCCTGGAGGTAGGATGGATGGACAGACAGAGGGTCCCCAGGCTCTGATGGCCAAGGTGTGGCCAGCTAAATTGCTCTCCCTTGGCCACCCTGTAGGGCAGAGAGTTCCACCAAGTTCAGACACCACTTCTACACCAACGTCAGCGGATTGACAAGCTTTGGTGAGGTGAGGACTCCTGTTATGTTGCCCACCCTACCTACAGATCTGTGCACACACTTTTGCCCCTGACAACTCCCCCCCTAAAAAAAATCCAATTGTCCCTACAGAAGGTGGTGGAGGAAATGAATCGCCTGGGCATGATGATAGACTTGTCTTATGCATCGGACACCTTGGTGAGGCGGGCCTTGGAAGTGTCGCAGGCTCCAGTGATCTTCTCCCATTCAGCTGCCAGGGCTGTGTGCGACACTTTGCTGAATGTTCCTGATGACATCCTGCAGCTTCTGGTGGGCAGCCACCCCAGCCCTCAAACCCAGGGCTAGGCATGCTTCATCCAAAAATTCTTGACCCTGAACAAAGAAAGCTACCAGACAGGTCTCACACATCCTTAGACCTAAGGCTAGTTAGTCCTCTTTCATCCCTTAAACTCAAGGCCAAACCAGTTCCACCCAGGGACCCACAAACCCAGAGAGGCGAAGCCTTTTCCAACCCCTGAAGCCAGGACTGAGTGCTGTCCTGCCAAGGACCCCATGGCATGGGCGGCATGCCATTAGGCCAGAAGGGCTGAGCTGAGTCTCCCTTTGTCTATCCCTATAGAAGAAGAATGGTGGCATCGTGATGGTGACGCTGTCCATGGGGGTGCTGCAGTGCGAACTGCTTGCTAATGTGTCCACCGTGGCAGGTGAGCCCCACCTTGGCTCTTTGTGCAGCTCTGGCTTGGGCTGTGGCTGCCAGGGCCCTCAGGACAACTCCAGCAGTGTCACACACCTGTTGGGCAGTGGGCAGACCTCCCATCTTCACTGCCACCCAGATCTGGGGCCACAGAGTCAATGCTGATGGGTTTGATGCCTCTGTCTCTGAGTCTCATTTTTGCTCCCAATCCTTGAGCCTCTCATTTCCCACGTCTCAGGGCAAGACAGGCAGAGCCCCCACCAGGCTCTCAAGGAATCCAGAGGCAGGGTGGCTTCTGGGCAGGAAAAGTCCCAAAGGGGTGGCTCTGAGGTCCACTGTAGGTCCAGTGACTACCCTGCAGCCACTTCAGGACTCGTGGTTGGCCATGGCCTGGAGTGCTGGGGACAAGGCTGGTCACAGGGTCTAACACCAGCCTCATGCTGCCCACCACTAACCTCTACCCCCTAGATCACTTTGACCACATCAGGGCAGTCATTGGATCTGAGTTCATTGGGATTGGTGGAAATTATGACGGATCTGGCCGGTGAGTCCTTCCCCGGGGTTTGTCTCAGACTGGGGGACAGCAGAGAGTCCTTTAGTCTTTGTTCCCATCCTGGGGTCCTCCCATCCTTCAGGCCTTGATGATAGGCTCTGGTGTTCCAGCTTACTGGCAGCCCCCGCCCCCACTCTTGGGGACTGTTTCCTAGGTTCTCCCTGTCCCTCCTGTGGCCCAGTGGCCCCACTCTAGACTGTCACACTTGGTAAGTACTCCCCTTCCCCAGGCAGAGCTCGTTTGCCCAGCACGTGCTGCACTTCCAGCCCAGCAAATCTGCTGCGGGCCGACCATCTGCTTAGCCGGCGGAGGCTACAGAAGCCCAGCCCTCAAGAAGCCTATAAAGTTGCAATCAGTGGCCTGAAGAGCTTGGCCTTCAGTTTCCCATATGTGACTAGGGCTGGTGGACAGCAGGCCCTAGACCAGGATCAGGGCTAAGGTCCCACAGCTGGCTGTTGGCTGGCCACACAGGTTCCCTCAAGGCCTGGAGGACGTGTCCACGTACCCGGTACTGATAGAAGAGTTGCTGAGTCGTGGGTGGAGTGATGAAGAGCTTCAAGGCGTCCTTCGAGGAAACCTACTGCGGGTCTTCAGACGAGTGGAACAGGTACGCTGCGCTGGTCAAAAGGATGGTGCCATGGTTGGAGCAGGTGAGGGATTGCTGTGGGAGCCCCTGACTGCTGACTTCCACCCCCAGGTGAGAGAGGAAAACAGTGGGCAGAGCCCTGTGGAGGCTGAGCTTCCAAACAGGCATCAGAGCACGTCCTGCCACTCCCAGCTTCTGTCTCAGCCTCAGAATGGACACCTGGCCACACACCTGGATTCGACCAAGTGGCCAGCCAGTCGGGTCCTCCAGAGCTCCTCAAAAGCCTCCCCATACCTTGTTCTAGGCCCTGTGGCTGCTGCCACCTTCCCAATCCTCATCCAATGACTCTGGCGACTTGGCCAACCCCCCTAGAGGTCCCTGTGGCAAAGTTCCACAAAGTCCCCTTCCTAGTCCAGGCACAAGCATATGCTGAGAATAAACATTTCACACAAGGAGCCAGGTGTGAGGGTCCTTCCTTCTCCATGGTGGGAGTGGGGCCAGGTGGGCTTTGGCAGGTGAGGGGTCTTGTGGTCTGGCCTCAGCTGCTGCAAGTGAGTGGTTTCCACCCACCTCCTGCTTTGTCTTTCTCAGGAAAGCCAGAGGCATCTTACCCAATTCTTGCACTAAGGCTGGGCTCGGTGGCTCGAACCAGTAATCTTAACACTTTGGAAGGTGAGGTGAGGGGATTGCTTGAGGCCAGGAGTTCAAGACCAGCCTGAGCAACATAGACAAGACCCATCTCTACAAAAAATAGAAAAAATTAGCTGGGCATGGTGGCACACACCTGTAGTCCCAGCTACTTGGGAAGCTGAGGCAGGAGGATCACTTGAGCCCCCCAGGAGTTTGAGGTTGCTGTGAGCTATGATTGAGCCACTGCACTCCAACCTGGGTGGCAGAGTGAGACCCTGACTCAAGATCAAAGAATTCTTATGCCAAAAGCCTGAGCCCACAGAAGAGCACATTTGTGTATGCAGATCTATTTTTGAATTCTGTTCCATTTATTTGTTTTTATTGTTGTTGTTGTTTTGAGACAGAGTCTCG